AGCCAGCATCAGCCCTAAAATCTGGATCCTGAATCCTCACACCTCATCTCGGGCTGTTGGTCGTCGGGGTCCGCAGGTGACACGCGGGACGTGTTCGATGATGAGCACTTGGGCCCACAGCCGCCGGACATTGGGGTGGGCCCTCCAGCCGTAGCATTCTCTACGAGATTCTGCCTGTGGAATCCACGATTTCTGGCGGGTAACCAGTTCTCGAATTCATCTGAATGTCAGAGCTTTAGCTGAAGTGCATGTAACTCGCGGACAGCTGCGGTATTCTGGCATTTGAGATGGAATAGCAGCCTGCGAAGATACGACAAGCCTGTTGAAGGCGGATGACGGTGACGAATGGGGAGGCCCAGGGATTTCCGAGCAAATGTAACAACAGGACCAGCGATGACATGCAGACGTGCAATCTAACAACAGGTTTTGGTAACGACGACAAGTAAACATGCAAGACGGATGTGCGGGTATGAGATACTGCACAAGATGTGTGTATTTACATGATTGATCTGTTTTGGTATGGCATGGTATTGTCTGATGTTGTATGGTCTGGCATGGGCTGGTCTGGCCTGGCCTGGGTATCTTATAATATAGTGTGGTGTTCTATGGTATCGTATGGTATAGTGTACTGTACTATAGTATCATGTAGCATCCATATATATATATATACACAAATGATGTATTTTATACACACATTAGTAGGTGTATATGTATATATATATATATATATACACATCTTTTTTCCGTACATACATACGTGCATACGTACGTACGTACGTACATACATACATATGTACATACATACATACATACATACATGCATACATATGTATGTATGTATGTATGTATGTATGTATGTATGTATGTGTATACATATATGTATCTATGGGGGATTTCTGTATGTATGTATATATAGTCAGCCTCGCCGAGCCTAGCCTACTGTAGCCTAGCCTAGTCCAGCTTAGTCTAGTATAGCATCGCGTTTTGCAGCACAGCACAGCATAGCATAGCATAGTATAATATAGTATCACTAGTTGCATGTAGTCTATATCTAGTACAGTACAGTATACTAAACCCTAAGCCCTAAACCCTATATAGTACAGTATAGTATAGTGATATCGTATGGTGTCGTCTGTAGGCGGAAGGCGCTCGAAATCGACAGGTCGGCTCTTGCAGCATCAGCTCTGAGAGGCTCCCCGAAAGCTCCGGAGAGTCCGGGGGCCCCGTTTCTTGGTTTTGTGGTGCCTTTAAGGGTGAAGGCTTAAGGGTTACAGGTTTAGGCTTTATTTAGAGTTCAGGCTACTGTTGAGGGTTTAGGGAATATAGGGTGTTTAGGGTTTGGGGTTCGCGGTTTAGGGGCCCCTTAGTTCGTAGTACCTCGCTTCTGGCGGTTTCCGAAAGTTTGGCCCCTGAATGGCTAAGCTTCGGAAACCTCCGTTTGGCCTTCGCTTCCGGCCAGAGCAGAGTTGAAAGATCAAGATCCAAAGCTAAAGGCTGCAATCCTGGCTTACGAGTTCCACAGCCTGGCATGTACAGCTCTTGAAGGCCCCCTTGAAGTTGCAAGGCCGCTGAACATGGCTGACACGATTCGCCTTGGCAACACCGCGCAACATGGTTAAGTTGTGTTACAGGTGTTCACCGACCTCCCAGCCCCATGTCTCACTCCACGACGATGGCCGGAATGTGCTCAGGGCAAATGCGTCTTTCGCCTCGATGGATCTACATGACGTTTGCCTGTTGTGTCCCCCCGGTTGACAGCTTTCCATCCGCTCCCCCCTCCGAAGACCGGTAGAGCTCCCATTTGCTTGGCCTCTTATTATTTGAGCTCAGTTCGTTCGTGTAGGGACATGGAAGGCATCCAACCAACTGCGGAGCGCAAAGGCAGCAGCATGGTATCACTATGACAACCGAGCCTCTCGCATCGTCACAAGAACACACACAGCGATAAGTTGGCATGCCAATCAGATAGGCACACCAGCGCCGCCAAGGCATTGGCCGTGCTTTGCCCTTTGTGGATGCTTGCTCTCCTAATCGCTTCACCTAGGCTTGCTGTAGATTCCTTTCTCCCAAGAGGCTAGGGCTAGGGGGTTTGTGGATGCTATTTATGGTTGCATCGACATCGCAAACAGTCTTGGTGACGCATGAAGATTGCAGCCTTCAAGATGGTGAGCCGACATGGGAAGGTGGAAACTGTTGAAACCTCCGCGGTATGAGTGGTCCAGAAGCTTTGGCAAGTGCCACCTTGATCACTGCTTCGTAAGGGTCAGAGCGGCCTCCTGGGCAAGTGCCACTCCAACGGTCTCGAACTCCGTAATGCGTGAGGAAACCACAGAATGCGACGACCTCCGGAGCACTGAGCCACACAAAGCAGCCTGAACCCTGAGAGACTCTTCGCTATCAGGCGATGGACGGGGAGCCGGCTGAAGCCGAAGCAGCAGCTGCACCGGAAGCCGAAGCGGCCCCAGAAGCTGAAGGGGCGCCCCCCCCGGCAGAAGCCGCGGCTGCAGCAGAAGCGGCCGAGGCTGAGGGGCTCTGCACCAGCACCGTCACAGCATCATTGTTGTTGCGATTAGAGTAGTAAGTAGCAGTGGCACTAGCAGATGTCTTGCTGTTTGTGGCGGAGAGGTTGAGCGATGTGATGATGGGTCTGATGCCGAAAGCAACCCGCGCGTCCGTGCTGCGAAGCTTTGCACTGCCAGGCGCCGGCTCCAGCGGCAGAAGCTCCGGCCGATCCAGCGGCAGAAGCTCCGGCCGAGGCCGGGTTTTGAGGATGTCGAAGAATTTTCTATTTAGTGCCATCTGCGGTAGACCTTATTGAAAAGAGGAGATCTGCTTTTTGCATAGGGTCTTAGATGTAGACCCTATGAATCCAATTTGGCAGCGCGCAGTAAACAGACTCTGTCCGGTCCGAACCGCCATGGAAAGCTTGTGAAACAGAGCCCTCTCAACATAATTTTATAATCATTTGAACATGTGACCGGCCATGGCGCTGGACCGTGAGTCAAGTTATGCCGGCCCGTAAACCTGCCCTACCATCCGTGGATCAAGTTTTACTATGGACTCCCCCCCATCCTTTCCCGTTTCTTTCGGGGTTCGGGGATTGCGGGCCCCGCCATTCCGCAACTCCCCGTTGCCATTTTTCCGTCGTCTCAGGGACTTATAAACGAGCATGCGGGAACCTCTGCTGTGTCTGGCACTTTCGCACAGGGGGCTCCAGATGCCGCGCCGGCAGAAGCTGACATCCAGGTCGGGGTGGGGCGCTGATTTGGATTCCTCTCTCCTTTAATGCTCGGGGTTCGGTTCGGAATACATGCTCCCAGCTTTCTACTGCAACAACAACTACTACTACACCACCACCACCACCGCCACCACTGCTACCACCACGGCCACCACTGCCGCCACTACCACTGATACCACCTACCGCTACCACCACTACCACCGCTGCCACCACCACGACCTAGCAATACCTAGCACTACCTACCACTACCACCACTACTTCCGCTGCTACCACTACTACAACTACTGCCGCTAGTACCATTGCCTACTGCTACCGCTGCTACCCCTACTACCACTACTATCACCATTACCACCACCACCACGACGACGGCGACGACGACGACTACCACAACTGCTGCTGCTACTACTACTACTACTACTACTACTACTACGACTACGACTACGACTACGACTACGACTACGACCACTAGCACTACCACTACTACTACTACTACTACTACTACTACTACTACTACTACTTCTTGTTCTACGACTACGACAACGACTACTACTACTACTA